TAACTGAAAGGTTCTCGGGGCACTTTTAATTTAACTGGTTTAAAAAAATGCACTTAAACATGAGAAATGTGCGACTACACTGAACAAGTCATTTATTTTTATTTTTTCATTACTTAAGAAAAAATGTTTTTTTTATTTAAATGCCTAGTGCCTGTAATAACAGAAATAAAATGGTTAAATCATATTTGAATTGTTTTTGTAAATGTATTTTTATGTAAATGAGATGGGCATTTGATATCGCAATACATCGATCGCAGACTTGTGAATTGAATAGAATTGAAACCGTATCGTGTACAGGCAAGTACAATTTGTACAAATATATGCATGCATGTCCAAAAAGGCAACTTGAGGTCAGTTAACATCTGCTAAGTTTATGGCAAAAACCAACATAGACATGTTCCTGTTGTTAGTATTTTACATCGCTTTATAATGTAGCTGTTTTTGTTGCGTTTTTTTTTTATATATATTTTATTTTATTTTTCAATTCATATGCTTTTTTATGATTGTCTGCTGTTGTACTGATAAATATCTTCTGGAGGGTAAACGTAAACTATATCTTGACTGCAAGTATTCAATCAAGCTGTGAAGCAGGCAGTCTGATTTCAGTCAGCTGCGCTTACTCTGCTCCTTCTCCGAGATGGGCAGACTGAGCGTGACTGACTGAAATCAGTCTTCCGAACGAGAGGAACACACCGCTGAAGCCACGGAGCTTGAATGTCCAATGTAAAACTAACTTTACTGCGGTGCCTGGCTAAACAATCCTCGTGTTCTTTAATGTGGTGCTTTTTTTAATGCTTGATTAAGTTTGTTGTATTGTGAGTCGTGACGGAACTTCCTCTTTGTGGTACAGCGGTTCTGCAGACATTGCACGTTGCTGTCTTGCGGTATTTCTAGTGTAAAATACTTCCACACAGCGAACATGTTGCAATGAAAAGTTGGTTAGCCGTTAGCCACAGTGCTGCTCAGTCCTCAGTATTTACTCACGTTTAAGCTGGTTGCAAACGATGAAATGGATTTCCTGAATGTGAGGCGGGTCTTATTACTCTGGGTTTCATGAAACACGCCTCCGTTCACGAAATCCATTCCATAGTTTGAAGCCAACGTGCAGAGCAGCTTGCAGGGAATCACATGTGGAGACGTTTCAGCAGACACAGACATGGATCGAAAATCTCTGCAGGTTGGATCAGAAAAATCCGATACGTAAATTATACTGGTATCGGAACCAAATACAGATACTGGATCGGCCCCATCCCTGGAAAAAAACATCTTGTAGAAGCTCCAAAATTCACAGTTGAAACCCGTGCCTTCGTATAAAAAGTTGCTGAGAACTTGTTTATTGATTTTTTATTAAAAGCTTTGTATGAACAACGCTATGCTAAAGAGCTCAAACCACACTGTGTTCGCCATTTTGAGAACCGACAAAAAGGAAGGAGAGACAGCCCATGTCACATCAAGGGGCCTCCCTCCCATTTTTCTTAGAAAGACACGCTGCTCGGTCCCTCACTATCCAGCCTTTGGTTCATATTATGGTCATATTACCCATTTACTCTATTTATTATGTGGTCATATTATCTTCCGTGTTTCCTTGTGCTAAACGTCTCCTCTCCCACCAGTCCACCTCCTGGAGAAGAAGGAAGGAGGGGAGCTGTGGCGGTTCTGGGGTGGGTCCAACAGGGGCCAGTGCCCCTGTAACACCGAGTCTGGACCCGCCTGTGGCCCCCCTCCAAACAAAGATTATACAGTAATTATTAATATTTTGATATTCGCCGATGCAAAAGGCAGAACCAATGCGCGTGGCACAACGTTTTAGTAGGATCCTTTAGTGCCTAGTTCACTATATAGCGGACTCTGGTCCGGATGCACGCGCTCCCGACACGGGATGAAGAACAGCTGAGTGAAGCGAGGCTCTTGGAAACACCCCCTCCTCTCTGAGCGCACAGCACTGCCTCTCATGATGTCATTGCTATTTTAACTCACTACTTACTTCCAGTAAAATAAATATGGAATACTATCTTGTTCTACAGCATCTACCTGGCGATAGTGTCTGTTTTTTCTGCATCAGTTCTGGTCACGTTTTCACAAAGCTGTTGGCATTTCAAATACAAGGTGAGTTTCACCCAAATTTTAAAGCTCTGTTCCTCATGTGGGCATACTTATTGCCATCTTGGTGCCTGTGTGTTGGGGTTCACTCCAGTGAATGAGAGGGTGGCCTCCCTCCGCCTACGTGTGGGGGGACGGGTTCTGACTGTCGTTTGAGCTTATGCACCAAACGGCAGTTCAGATTATCCACCCTTTTTGGAGTCCTTGGAGGGGGTACTGGAAAGTGCACCTCCTGGGGACTCCCTTGTTCTGCTGGGGGACTTAAATACTCACGTGGGCAATGACAGTGAGACCTGGAGGGGTGTGGTTGAGAGGAACGGCCCCCCCAATCTGAACCCGTGTGGTGTTCTGTTGTTGGACTTCTGTGCTAGTCATGGATTGTCAATAACGAACACCATGTTTGAGGCGATTATGGTCCACCATCCGGCATCTTGAGGGGGAAAGCGTTACGCCACCAACACTATTTATAGTGGGAGTGGTGCGCTGCTGACCTCAACTCGGGATGTCGTGGCTCGGTGGGCAGAATACTTTGAAGACCTCCTCAATACCATCGGCACGTCTTCCACTGAGGAAGCGGAACCTGGGGACTCTGGGTCGGGCCCTCCAATCTCTGGTGCCGAGGTCACCAAGGTGGTTAAAAAGCTCCTCCGTGGCAGGGCCCCAGGGGTGGATGAGATTCGCCTGGAGTTCCTTAAGGCTCTGGATGTTGTAGGGTTGTGTTGGCTTACGCGACTCTGCAATATTGCGTGGACATCGGGGGAAGTTCCCCTGGATTGGCAGACCGGGGTGGTGGTGTCCCTATTCAAAAAGGGGGACCTGGAGTGTGTTCAAACTACAGGGGGATCATGCTCTTAAGCCTCCCTGGTAAGGTCTATTTGGGGGATCTGGAGAGGAGAGTCCGTCGGATAGTCAAACCTCGAATTCAGGAGGAGCAGTGCAGTTTTTGTCCTGGTCATGGAACACTGGACCAGCTCTACATTCTCAGCAGGGTCCTCGAGGGTGCGTGGGAGCTTGCCCAACCGGTCTACATGTGCTTTGTGGACTTGGAGAAGGCGTTCGACTGCGTCCCTCGGAGAACCTTGTGGGGGGTACTCTGGGAGTATGGGGTACCTGGCCCTTTGATACGGGCTGTTAGGTCCCTGTATGACCGGTGTTAGAGCCTGGTCCGCATTGCCGGCAGTAAGTCGGGCTTGTTTCCTGTGAGAGTTGGACTCCACCAAGGTTGCCCTTTGTCATCGATTCTGTTCATAACTTTTATGGACAGAATTTCTAGGCAAAGCCAAGGTGTTGAGGGGATCCGTTTTGGTGGCCTTAGGATTGCGTCTCTGCTTTTTGCAGATGATGTAGTCTTATTGGCTTCATCAGATCATGATCTACAGCTTTCGCTGGAGCGGTTTGCAGCCAAATGCGACACGGCCGGGATGAAGATCAGTTCCTCCAAAATCCGAGGCCATGGTCTTCAGCCGGAAAAGGGTAGAGTGCCGTCTCCGGGTCAGGGAGGAGGTCCTACCCCAAGTGGAGGAGTTCAAGTACATTGGGGTCTTGTTCAATAATGAGGGAAAAATGGAGCGTGAGATCGATAGGCGGATAGGTGCAGCGTCTGCAGTGAAGCAGGCGCTACACAGGTCTGTCGTGGTGAAAAGAGAGCCGAGTCAAAAGGCGAAGCTCTGAATTTACAGATCGATCTACGTTCCTACCCTCATCTATGGTCACGAGCTTTGGGTTGTGACCGAAAGAATGAGATCTCTGATACAAGTGGCCGAAATGAGTTTTCTCCGCAGGGTGTCTGGGCTCTCCCTTAGAGATAGGGTGAGAAGCTCGATCATCCGGGAGGGACTCAGAGTAGAGCCACTGCTTCTCCACGTCGAGAGGAGCCAGTTGAGTTGGCTTGGGCATCTGTTTAGGATGCCTTCTGGACGCCTCCCTGGTGAGGTGTTCCAGACACGTCCCACCGGAAGGAGGCCCAGAGGAAGACCCAGGACACGCTGGAGGGACTATATTTCTCGGCTGGCCTGGGAACGCCTCGGGATTCCACCGGAAGAGCTGGCCCAAGTGGCTGGGGAGAGGGAAGTCTGGGCCTCCCTACTTAGGCTGTTACCCCCGCGACCCGACCCTGGATAAGCGGAAGAAAATGGATGGATGGATGGATGGATGGATGGATGAATTTTATGCAATCCTATATTTTTTCCTATTTTTGGTACAAACTGGATTCCAAAAAAGTTGGGAAACTAAACAAATTGTAAATAAAAACTGAATACAATGATGTGAACGTGCCAACATCTAATATTTTATTCAGAATAGAACACAAATCACAGATCAAAAGTTTAAACTTAGAGAATGTATCATTTTAAGGGAAAAATCTGTTGTTTCCAAATTTCATGGCGTCAACAAATCCCCAAAAAGTTGGGACAAGTCCATTTTTACCACTGTGTGGCATCCCCCGTTCTTACAACACTCAACAGACTTCTGGGGACAGAGGAGACCAGTTTCTCAAGTTTAGAAATAGGAATGCTCTCCCATTCATGTCTAATACAGGCCTCTAACTGTTCAGTCGTCTTGGGCCTTCTTTGTCGCACCTTCCTCTTTATGATGCGCCAAATGTTCTCTATAGGTGAAAGATCTGGACTGCAGGCTGGCCATTTCAGTACCCGGATCCTTCTCCTACGTAGCCATGTTGTGATTGCTGCAGAATGTGGTCTGGCATTATCGTGTTTAAAAATGCAGGGTCTTCCCTGAAAGAGATGACGTCTAGATGGGAGCATATGTTGTTCTAGAACCTGAACATAGTTCTCTGCATTAATGGTGCCTTTCCAGACATGCAAGCTGCCCATGCCACAAGCGCTCATGCAACCCCATACCATCAGTGAGGCAGGCTTCTGAACAGAGCGTTGATAACAACTTGGGCTATCCTTGTCCTCTCTGGTCCGGATGACATGGCGTCCCAGTGTTCCATGAAGAACTTCAAATTGTGACTCATCTGACCACAGAACAGTCTTCCATTTTGCCACACTCCATTTTAAATGACCCCTGGCCCAGTGCAAACGTCTGAGCTTGTGGAGCTTGCTTAGAAATGGTTTCCTCTTTGCACTGTAGAGTTTCAGCTGGCAATGGCAGATGGCACGATGGATTGTGTTCACTGACAATGCTTTCTGGAAGTATTCCTGAGCCCATTCTGTTATTTCCTTGACAGTGGCATTCCTGTTTGAGGTGCAGTGATGTTTAAGAGCCCGGAGATCACGAGCATCCAGTAGAGTTTTACGGCCTTGACTCTTACGCACAGCGATTGTTCCAGATTGTCTGAATCTTTTGATGATGTTATGCACGGTTGATGATGATACCTTAAAAGTCTTTGCTATTTTACGCTGGGTAACACCATTCTGGTATTGCTGCACTATCTTTCTGCGCAACAATGGTGGAATTGGTGATCCTCTTACCATCTTGGCTTCTGAGAGACACTGACACTCAGAGAAGCTCTTTTTATACCCAATCATGTTGTCAATTGACCTAATTAGTGGTAATTGGTCTTCCAGCTGTTCATTATATGCTCAATTTCCTTTTGCCAGCCACTTATTGCTACTTGTCCCAACTTTTTTTGGGATTTGATGACGCTGTGAAATTTTGAATCAACATATTTTTCCTTTAAAATGTTACATTTACTCAGATTAAACTTTTGATCTGTCGTCTATGTTATATTACGAATAAAATATCGACATTTGCCATCTCCACATCATTGCATTCAGTTTTTATTCAAACTTTGTTTAGTGTCCCAACTTTTTTGGGATTTGTTGACACTGTGAAATTTTGAATCAACATATTTTTCCTTTAAAATGTTAAATTTACTCAGATTCACAATTTGTTTAGTGTCCCAACTTTTTTGGAATTCGGTTTGTACAAATATAAAATGAATCAAAAATATTTGATACAGTAAAGAACCTAAAATGATTGTTTTAAATAAATGTTCTATTTGTTTACATTGTTGTTTTTATCTTTTCAGCTTGTCAGTTACACATATGTAGTGGACTCGGCCTCCGACCAAAACCTGCCTCTGAGGACCTTCATGGGACAGGAACTGTTATTTCATTGATTTGAATCCAGAAATACAAATTAGCTCATTCAGAGACTGTCTAATTGTATCCTGAAGTAATCGATTGAAAGAACACTCTTCTTTTATATTATCATCACTATTTTACAATATCTTGATAAATAAAAAGTGTGTTTAGTTCATACCATTTCTAAATGTTGAAGTGAACCACTCATTTTAAATCAACTGTGAAACAGTATTAATGATTTTTTAATGCTCATTTAAATAGAAATCAAGTTAAATGTCTATTTTACAAAGTAATTATGCATTTTTGATCTTCTGTCTGAAATGAGAAGTAGTGATGTCGGTCGAAAGTCAGAAGAGAAGTTATTGGAATGAAGTGTCGTGTTTTTAAACCTAGCAGACGGTAAACAAGAAGCTACTGGCCTCTCTTCCTCCCACTTCGACATATCATGTCTTCTGTCTGTACGGGACGTTTCTAAAATATTCCTGCTGTTTTCTTGACTTGTAATGATCCTCTGACATCACTAGAACCACCCCCTGTTGGTTGCTTCAACCAATCAGGAAGTACTACAAGTGACCGGAAGTAAGAACTCTTTAAAAGTCGACACTTCCTGGAACTATTGAGTTCTGGAGTCAGTGCGGCAGTTCTGCAGTTCTCAGTCTTAAGTTCTCAGTCTTCATGGAGTCTTCCACTTGTGAGTGGAAATTCTGAACGTACTCACAGATGCTTGCTGTGAATCCAACCGGGCATAAATGCCCTACAACTTCGAAGGGAGCTGAGCATGTTTGTTTAACGGATAAGTGACACGACTTCTGACGGTGACCAGCCATCCTTACCGGAGATGCCGAAAGGTCGCGTTGAAATGGACTCCTGTTCATGAGCGGAGGTATCCCGGCAAAGGTAATGAGTCGTGATGCGCCGTGTACCGGAGGTGAGCTGGTATTGAAAGGAGCGTGCCATCCTGGTCCGAACAGACACTCCCTTTATACATCTTCCTTCAAACCTCTCTATTTAAACTCCTCATATTTCCCATCTTTAAAACTCTTCTACTTCTCCAGTAATTAATCTAGAGGTCTTCAGAAATGTCTGTTGTTTTTATTAAGTAAAACGTGCCAAGTTTTATTAATCAGAACCAGATCAACTAATCAAGTGTACAATGTTTTGATGTTAAATTTTGATTCTGTTCAATAAATGACCACATTTATTTTGATGGGTCAAAGAAAATAAACGTCTCATGTCACTGATTAAACCATCTACGCACAGTTACTTCTGTCACATGGCTGTAATTAGCTTGAAAAAGAGAGAACCCGTTATTTAAATTGTATTGTAGTGAAGGTACAGCAAAGCTGACTTTGACATCACTACATATGATAAAAATGAAACTTTCATATATTTCAGATTCATTGCACACCAACTGAAATATTTCAGGTCTTTAATTGTTTTAATACTGATGATTATGGCATATAGCTCAAACCCAAAAATGCCTGTCCCAAAAAATTAGCATATTTCATCCCACCAATGAAAGACAAGTGTTTTTAATACAAAAAACTCCAACCTTCAAATAATCATGTTCAGTTATGCACTCAATACTTGGTCGGGAATCCTTTTGCATGAATGACTGCTTCAATGCAGCGTGGCATGGATGCAATCAGCCTGTGGCACTGCTGAGGTGTTATGGAGGCCCAGGATGCTTCGATAGCGGCCTTAAGCTCATCCAGAGTGTTGGGTCTTGCGTCTCTCAACTTTCTCTTCACAATATCCCACAGGTTCTCTATGGGGTTC